GTGACGAGTGACGAGTGACGGCAGACAGCGGCTCAGGCACCATCTCCAGACCTCGACGGTGCTGCTTTCTTATTAAAGGGGCTGGAGAGCTGGCTGGGCTGGCGAGTGCTAGGTTCTCCTTGGTGAAGTCCTTCGGAAACCCCACTGGTCAAAGTCGCCGCTGCAGATTTGCAGATCACTGCCGCGGGCTTGTTTGAGCTTTTTAATGGCCCCGGGTTCAGGTGGACAGGTATTACTGCTTCTAGTTTAGACATGGGCAGCCTGAGTCCAGGGCAACCGCTAGAGTGGGGGAAGGGCTGCTGGCTCTGCAGCCAGAGGTGCCCCAGGCCCTGACTGCTCCCATCTCTCTCCAGCACCAGCAACGACAGGAAGTTCCTCTGACTACCAGCCTTTGTGCTGTCCCTCACCTGCCCCAGGGCTTTCTGTCCATGGAGTCCAGGTTATCAGCTGGAAGGAAGGGCCTAGCTGGTGGCCGTCACGCGAGGGTCTCAAGTGGGCTCTCTGCGGCATGCCACACAAGCCTGTGCCCTGGGCCGGGGTAAGGCAGGCCGGAGCAGCGGGGACTGCGGCAAATGAGAGTGCCTGCCTCGCCTAAATCCCTACAAGCGCAGAGGTTGTAATAAGTCCGCGCCCATGAAACTGTACGGGATGGGACCGTGGGCTGAATTTGTCATGGTCCGTCCCCCAATCTAGTACAGGCCTTTGTTTTGGAGGGGAATGTGTGGCCTGGAGTTGAGAGTGGCTCCTTAAGGTCGCAGCGCAAGGCCATAGAGCTAGGAGTTGAGTCTGGGAGGAGGTGGGGCCTCTGGCAGTGCTATGAGGCCACCCCAGCAGGCAGGGCTAGGGGGCAGGGCAGGGGGTTATCTAGGACAGATAGGCCCCGCACCCAGGAGACCCAGGAGTGGCCCGGTGTGCCTCCCTTCCCTTCACTGTCAGAGCACTTACACCCCCCAGCCCACCCCCCAGACAAACCTCCTGTCCCTTATAATCAGGTTAGCCTCCTGCTCTGTGCTCCTCAGCTGAGCTGAACCAGCTGCCTCTAATGGCCTTTGGCCCTCCCCCTCTCCCTGGCTCTGGGGGTGGGGGAGGGGAAGCTAAGAAATGAACTGTATGTGGGAAGGGGCTACCTCGTTCTCTCCATTTAGACCTTTCCGTGGCTTCTAGGATGAAATCCAAACCCTTAGCCTGGCATCCAGGACCCATTACTATGATGCCCTGGTCATTTCTTAAGCCTCCACACGCCTGATATACTCTTTCCTGTGGTCATGGGATGCTATTTCCCACCTCCCGGTCTTTGCACATGCAGGTAGGTCCTTTTGCTACTTCCCACCTTCTCGGAAAACTCCTATGCAGCCTACAAAACCCAGCTCTCGTCTCTTCCTCTGGGCTGCCTTCTCTCAAGACTCTTGCCTCTGTACCCCCACTGGATACTCCACTGGTCTGGAATGTAATCCCTGTGTTTGGCTACTTTATTCTGCACCTGGTTCTGCTGAGTCCCTGGAGGAAAAGGAGAATCTTCTAGAAGAATATGCCTCTGGATGCAGTATGGAGAAGTCTCATTGAAGGAATAGGGTCAGCAAAGAAAAGAGAAGCAGGGAGCAGGGTTGGAAAAGAGACAGGGAGTGCACAGAACAGCTGTTCCCAGCCCCTCCACACAGCTCCAGCCTACTTCCTGTCAGGGAGGCCATGCCCAGTGACACATGCAGGGCCTGAAATAGACACGTGGGGGCCTTGGTGGCACACCTCCGCAGCCCAGCACTGAGCACCAAGCACCCTTCCACTCCTTAGGCGTTGAAACGCCTCTTCTCCTAGGACCCTGCCCCTGCAGCCAAGACCCCCTTCCCCAGCCATGCCCAGGCCTTTTCCCTCCATTCCTGCTAACTTTGTTTTATAAATAAACTATATAAATAGGCCCCTCTGATTCCTCAGAGCGCGCAAACGTTTAAGGACTGGGGCACGGCTGCAGGCATAATTGTACTACCAAATCCATCAGCTGCCTAATTACCATTTATTTTGCATTTATTTCTGCTAATTAAAAAGAGAGAAACTCCTAACAACTTTTACGTAAATACTATATTTGTTCTATGTAAAGACGGGATGCTAATTTGCTGGTGATTAGCTGATTATCTAATTTTGTAGCTGTCACACAGGATGGCCCCGTCTCCCCTTGGCACCCCAGAAGCCACTCGAAGCCCCTGATCAGGTGTGGGAGGCATAGGTCAAGGGAGGTCTCCGTAGGTGGTTAGAAGGTCTGTGGGAGGCCCAGAGGCCACCGGGAGCATCAGATGCCTCCAGGATTCAGAGAGGCTGAGAGGGACCTTTGGCTCATGTGCAGTTTCTGTGCAGATGAAGAAACGGAGGCCCAGAGAGATCTAGCATCCCCCAGTAAAACGGTAGCAGAGACAGACTCCTGACGCAGGTGTTTAGGCTCCCCTTCCAGTGTTCATCCTGCTGTATTGAGCTAACGCCAGGGAGAATTTGCAGGGAGATAGCTTTATCTGCAGCTGAGAAATATCTGGACCAAACTCCAGCCCCAGTAGAGGAAAGCTGTAGTCTGGTCTGAGCTGGTGGCCAAACCAAACTTTCTGTGTACCCTTCTGGAAACATATACCTTCTCCCAGTTTCCCACCCAGCTCTGGGGTCTGCTTCCACAGGCCGCTCAGCACAGCTATGGAGGCTTCTCCCCCGGCCCCACCCCAGTCCAGGCCAGCTTCCCGGGACCTGCCTACACACGGCATCGCGAGGCGCCCTGGGGGCTCCCAGGATTTCTGCAAGTGTCCGAATTTCAGATCTTCAGATTATGTATTTATTTTCATGGGAATTAGAATAAATATAGAATTAATATAGCAAACTCTGGTTTCACAGACAGTATTGCTTTGAATGAGAATAAGAAAAAAGAAAGTATTTAAATAACGAAACGAAAATAATTTAGAGGGAACACAGATGTGGCTTAAAGTATCTAGTAACTGAAGTTGGGGACGTGCTTGGGGAGGGTCTGAAAGCGCCAGGTCCAGAGGAAGCCAGGCAGGTGAGGCCAGGGTCAGAGCAGGGACGTTCAGTCAGGGTTGGCCAGTCCCTGGCCTGAGGGCCACCACTGCCCCGTCCCACGCCCAGGCCAGCAGGGTCCCTGGGTCCTGCCCTTCTGCGGTCTGCAGGGATCAGCCCACTTCAAAGGAATCACTTGGCCTCAGAAGCAGTCTAACAGGACTGTTTCGGGGGGCCAGAAGGTCAGATCTCTGCCTGGTGACCGGCTGTGGGTGAGCGACTTCACAGGGATTTTCTGTCCGGCCAGCTCCCCATGCGTTGGCGGGCAAGACCCTGGCTCTCTCTCTTCCTGGGCAGTCTGAAAACAGCCAGTTCAGACAGGAAGGCAGAGTGACTGACTGGGCCAGGTGTCCTCTGGGTGGCCAGAGAGGTCAGGACCAAGGTCAGCATGGCCCATTGGAAATCTCGGAGGCCAGAGACCCAGCCCTGGGTCCCTCTGTACAATGGGAGATGGTTGTCTTTTCCTCCTAGGGCTGCTGAAAGAACTCTGAGGGCCGTGTGCAAAGCGCCCCTCGGAGCCGTCCTCCGTGCAGCTGGTGGTGAGCCCAGCTACCCGCCCGGGGCCTCCCTTGGCCACCAGCCGCCGCCACCGTGTCTATGTGAGGTGACTGCCGCCAGAGATCTCCCGCTCATCTGCCCTTTTATCGCCCTGCACACAATCAGGGGAAGCCTGGAAGGCTAGGGGGTGCGGGCAGATGGAAAACAAAGAGAGAAAACAAAGGCATTGCTCCGAGGAGGCCAAAAGGCAGGGTGCGTCCTCCCTGTGCAGCAGCCTGGCCAGCCTGTCCCACCAGCGCCAGGCCCTGGCCGCCCCCGGGCTGCTGGCCACCTGCGACCTGCCCCACCCCGATAGAAACCAGCCTTGGACCTCAGAGGGGGTCACCACTCACTGGGTGACCCTGGGGAAGCCACGTTTCTCATCATGTCTGAAATGAGGGAGTCTGACACTATGCTGTGTGACCTTTAGCAAACCCCACTCCTCACCGCCCCCACCCCCCTGCCACTGCTGAGGGTCTCCTTGCCTGGGCCCAGCCCATCTCTAGGACACCTCCCTAGCCCCTCGAAGTCAAATGGGCCCACTTCTGCCCGTAGAGAGGACCGCCACGTGCCCTAAGGAAGTAGGGGCACCCGTTTCCCACCAAGATCATGGGGCTGGTATGTAAGGATTTGTGCAGAATGAATGAAATTGTTTAATTGCGGGGGGGCTTAACTCAGTGTCTGGCCTCATCCGCTGCTGCTGTCGTCGGAGCCCCTGAGTCAGAGAAAACTCTCCTGGGCCATCCAGAGCAGTACCAGCCAGCAGCAGGGAGGGCTCATAACTGTACCAAGGCCGGACTATAGGGGCTCACATCCTGTCTGTGTGACCCTGCCTGGTTCCTTAACCTCTCTGTGGCTGCGTCCTTGTGTGTGAGAATAGGTATAATGCATACTTTGCAGGTTGTGGTGAGATTAAATGGGTTAATTCACATAAAGTACTTCGAATGGTATCAGATAAAGGCCCATTAACATTAGGTATTGTTATCATTGTCAGTTGCATCACTGTTATTGATCAGAGGCAGACTCACCGGGGAAGGCATCAAGCGCCAGCCTCCAGGCCCCACCCAGCAGCGCCCTGGTGCCTGTGGGGCTTTGCAGGCAGCTGTGGATTGTTCCAGATGGGGCAGGGCAGCAGGCTGCTTGCTGTCAGGGACATTTCTGTGTGCCTCTCCCATAGATGGTTTAGAGGGGCCTGCACTCCTTAGGCTCCAGGAATTTGTCGTTGCTTCTTTTCTTGTTTTAAATATGTTTTTGTAGGGACGCCTGGGTGGCTCAGCAGGCTAAGCGTCCGACTTCGGCTCAGTTCATGATCTCGCGGGTCGCGGGCTAGGGCCCCGCGTCTGGCTCTGTGCTGGCAGCTCGGAGCCTGGAGCCTGCTTCGGATTCTGTGTCTCCCTCTGTCTTTGACCCTCCCCTGCTTGTGCTCTCTCAACAATCAATAAATGTATTTTAAAAATTAAAGAAAAAATAAATATGTATTTGTAATTCTATATACATTTCTGAAGAGAACCCTAAACTAGTATAAGCTCCAGGCCCTGGAAGCCTGGACGCGCCCCTCCCCAACCCCCCCGCGCCCGCCCCACCCGCCCCCACCGCTTCTTCCCATTTCCTTTATTGTATTTCCAAGGCCCAGCCCTATGCTGCCGACCTTGTGGCCCCAGCAGGAAGATGGCCCAGGCCTCAGGGCTGAAGGCTCCTAACTTCTCACCGTGTAGGCTCGCCCCTGAGCACCCCAGACTGCGATCCACACCCCACCCCCCAGGTTGAGGAAGCCCTAAGGAGAGCAGGCAGGGAGAATGGGACCCTCAAGGAAGGTCCCCTGAAGGAGAACGGATGTGCCTGAGTGCGCCTGCACTGCAGGCTGGAGCCCTGTCCTCTCCCTCCCCCCTCCCCCCTCCTACCCGGTGTGGGCCCCAGTGGGCAGGCACAAGGGGCGGTTGGGGTCGTGGGAAGCAGGTTGCTGAGTTGGGACAGTTGCCCCTGAGGCTGTCACCAGGGTGGCTGGCTGTGTGCCGAGTCCCAGGTTCCGTGCCGGGTGGGGGCCCAGCCTGGTCCCTGCCCCCTGAGAGCTCTCGAGGCAGCTGGAACCGCAAGATTCACAGCTGGAAGGGCAGGGGGAGGCGGTAGGAGACCCCGTGGCATCAAGAATCGTCGAGAGAGCCCAGGGGTCGTGAGGGCTGGACACTTATGGAAGGATGGGCCCTCACCTGGGGAGACCCTGGGGACGTGGGCACTGTGGACCCTCGCCCCTCCGCCGGCAGCAGGGCCTCCTGGCCTGGGCTCTGACAGGGACATTTATAACTCACAGCTGTGCGGTCCTGGGCCCAACTGACTGTGGTAAACCGATCAGGCTTCAGGAAGTCAGTCCCGAGGCCACTCCCCACCCGACCCCACACTCTCCTTCACCTCCTGACACCCACATCCTGTTCTCAGCAGGAGGGGCAGGCACCAGGGCACAGGGCTGGGGGCCCAGTCAGGGTCTCCAACTTGGGGCAGAGTGGGAAAGGACGGAGGGGCCCAGTGGGGTCCCAGAACTGGAGGCCAAGGCCTCTGGGGTCATCAGGCTCCCCGCCTGAGGCACACCTGGGGACATTCAGGCCCAGAAAGGCCACCTTGGAGCCACAGGAACTCAGGGGGACATTCTGTGCTTTCAAATCTGATTGGAGAGGGGATTATGCATCTAGCCCCTGCTGACCCGCTCTGGCCTGAGGGAGCCTGATGGAAGGGGCAGGCATGAACCAGAGGCCTCAGAAAATGTTGGGAAAAGGTGACATCTGGGACCCTGGTCCTCGGCGTGGCCTGCAGCCCTGCATGGGGACACCCCATCCCGGGACCAAATTCCTCACAAGACCTTGGTGCTCACCTGCCTAGATTCCCACAGCAGAGTTCACGTTTGGGGAAAGAAACGGTCTTACCCAGAAAGAGAGGGAAGAGAGGGCAGTATTAAGTTCCTAGCACATCATGGCTTTGACCCCCATGTACCTCCCTTGGTATCATACGCTAGCAGATTCTGGGGCCCTGTTAGGCAGCCATCCTCCCCCGCCCCACCCCACCCCCGGCCACGACTTTCTCTTGTATGAGGAGAGGGCTGATAAACAACAATGAGTTTGCCAAAACCTGGCCCACATAATTCTGCTAACCTGTGACCAGATCCTGGAATTAGATAGTCGCCGAAAGACCTCCGCTCTTCTTCCCTGGGTTGTGTGTTTATGAAGGCACATTGGCAATATAGAATTAGCATATCCAGCTACATACTTCGTGACTATGATCAATTTGGCCGAGGCCAGATTTCTTGAAGCTTAAAAAAAAAAAAGTGACTTGAAGTAAAGGTAAATATTAAATCAAACAAATATATATTCATTGAATCATCATACAGCTAGGACTCAGCCGGGACCAAGAATCACTAAGGGCAAGAAGTGAGTTGGGTTTCTGAAGAGGTACGTGCTCAGAAAATGGCTCGAAGCGTTGGTCACAGATCTGGTGAGCGGTTCATAATGAGGAAGGAATTCAGGCAGGGGTCAGAGAGTGGCTTTAGAAGTGGCTGCCGGCCGGCCGTGTGAGATAATTCCCCGGAGCCAGGCACAGCAGAGAGGAGACACTGGGGGGGTGGGGGAGCCTGTAGCTGGCTAAAAATACCCCAACAGCTTCTCCCCATCACCCTGCCTGGGGGCCGCACAGGAAGGCCAGGGCTTTCTGCTTCTCTCACCAGGAAGAAAAAGACAACAGCGCAATACCCCTGAGCCCCAGAAGAAACAAACCCTAGATGTGTGTTTTAGTTTTAAAGACTCCCGCCAGGAGCAGTTGGCCTGCTCGCTGGAGCGCCACAGGGTCTGGGAGACAGGGCCCCTGATAAATCAGGCATCCCGGGATGTGCGTAAGTGGCCTGAGAGGCCACTGAGATTAGCCTGGTTATGGGTGACTGAAGTGGGAGGGAGCGGACTCCTACTGTGTCCCTGGCTATTCGCACGTGTCCCGTCTCTCTGTACCCAGGACACGGAGCGGAAGCCTGTGGGTGTCAGACCAATGCTGTGAGGGGTATGAGGAAGAGAGCTGCTGTCCTTCACTCAGCTGCCAGACCTAGACAGGTAACAACAGGGCCCTGCTGCAGTCACCGGAAGCCCAGCCAGGGACCGCGGTTAGGGAGCCAGGTAGCGATGTCTGGGTGGGGGGTTGGTCCCCGAGCTGAGGGCTGTCAGCCTTTTCTCCCAGCCCTCGACTCAGGCTGCAGGGCTTCTTTGTGACTCCTTGTGTGCGCCCGGCACAAAATGCTCTGGGCCTCAGTTTGTCCATCTCTGAAATGGGTCACCATGTTTTCCAATTCTTGAGGATTGCTTGAATGAATTAGTTAGGGCTGATGGCTATTTGGAGTTAATCTGTCTTAGCAGCCTGGTTCACTTTGAACTCCATAGGCATGGCCAGGGGTCCCAGGCCTTGTGGATTGAGCATTAAGGCCACAGGTCCGCAGGGCCCGACGGGGCTCGAGAAGAGAGAGTTTTCTAAGGCAGAACCAGCCAGACATGTGAGTCGTTGGAAATGTGGCTGTGGCCTACTTTGTGGCAGTGTTTGAAACTTCGGAGTGATTCCTCTGGCAGCTCTGGGCAGGAATGGTCATCTGTGTTTTTAGATGGCAAGACCAAGGCACAGAATAGCTGAATGGTCCTGCCGGGGTCACACAGCAAAGTCTGGTCACACCAAAGTGGCTCTCCTTCATCCTGTCTGCCTTGATCAGGTTCTGCACTTTGACTTCTACTACACTGCTCTGGGCCGGTCCATTCACCCCATAGAAGTCGGGCCCGTGAGCCCAGGACACCGCCAGTCTCTATTGTGTGACACCGTGGGACCCACCCCTCCATCCATCCGTGCTCCCACCACCCATCCTTACCATTCACTCATCCACCCATCCATCTTCTCCTCCGCTCCTCCACCCATCCTTCCAACCACCCATTTAGCCATTAGCTCGCACATCAAACACTCACTGCGCCTTCTACCAAGGCAGGCCTGCGCTAAGGCCTGGGTTTGGATCCAGCTCTGCCTTGAGATGGTGCACACGTGATCCCAGAGTCAGGCCCAATTCCGTAAGTTCAGTGCTCAAGGCTTGTGTGGTATCCTTGATTACACAGGGAAGGGAAGAGGAGAGCCATGCGATGGTTCTACAGGCAGGCATTCAGGGAAGGCTTCCTGGAGAAAGTGACCCTGTTCACTGATTCCTGCCCCAGATGTTCATTGAGAAAGTCTCCGCGCAGGGAACCACTCGATGTTCTGGAGACACAGCAGGGAATAAAATGAACCAAACTTCCTTTCCTCGTGGCGCTTGCATTCTCACGAAGAGGCAGGGGCAGGAAATACCGAAAATGTGATATAGAATATGTCAGGTGATGCTGGGCTCCAAGAAGGAAGGTTGGCAGAGCAGAGGAACAGAGCCTGCCGGGTGGGGTAAAGTGGACACCCTCGGGCAAAGGAAGCGTTTGAACAGAGACGTAAATGGAAGGAGGGAGTGAGATGGGTGCTTGGCATGTTCAAGGCAGCAGGAGGGAAGCCATATGGCTGCAGCGAATGAGGGGCTGGGAATCAGAGAGATCCTGGGGGACCCACTCATGCAGGCAGGCAGGAGTAGAGCAGGGAGGTGGCTGGGACCCACGTGGAAAGGGTGGCGGCGTGGTGTCTAGGGATAGCAGGGGAAGGGGTGGGGGGGCCATGGGAGTCGAATGTACTTCAGAGACCTTGCAGACAGGCTTGCGTGTGGATTCGAGGTGCTGCATGAGAGAAGGCAGGGACAGTCAAGGAAGGCTCTCAGGTTCGGGACAGGAGCCACCGGTAGAACAGAGAGGTCATTTACTCAGCCAGGAATGATGGTGGGGGAGGGCTGAAGGAAGCCGAGGAGTTGTGTCTTAGACACGTGAACTTGCCTTTGAGACACCCGAGTGGAAAGCTTGAGTAGGCAGCTGGATATATGAGTCTGGGAGGCAGAGCGGTCCTGACTGGAGATAGAAATGTGGGAGCTGATGTGCACGGAAGACGTTGTGAGCCATGAGGCTGATGAGGTCACCCCGGGAGCCAGTGGAGAGGGAGCAGATCGGAGTCCTGAGTCTGAGTCATGGGGATCCAGCCCTTGGAGGGAGTGAGGATAGGGTGGAGGCGGCAAGGGAGACCGAGAGGGTGCAGCCAGGTATGTGGAAGAACCGAGAGAACAGGCTCTTAATGGACAAGGATAATTTTGCTGGCACCGCAGGGAACGGATGCTCCAGGCAGAGGGAACAGTATAGGAAAGTCTCAGACACCTCAATAAAGGAGCCATATTTGGAGAGGAGTGGAAGAGAGGAAGGAAAAACCACGCAGGGGCCAGGGGCCCACCGGTGCCTGGATTGAGGGTGAGCCCACATCCCGGGACCCTCCCCGTCACCGGGGCCTGCACTCTCTGGTCTCAGCTGAGTCCTTTGCCCTGATGTCTGCACACTCTGCGCTTTCCTTTTAAGAAGCTTCTACCTGTCCTGACCTCCCACCTCCTCTGTGAGGCTCTTGGGCTCCAGAGACCTCCCCCTTGCCTGGAGCACTTGTCTGAAAACACAGGGCTGAAGGCAGCTGCTCTGAGCTGCCTGCAGGGGGGAGGGCACCCAGCCGCTTCCTATTGAATCTCTAAGCACTGCTGGATCCTTTATCTTAAAAGAAACCCTAGAAACTTCCTGGACTATGAGTGTGTGTCAGAGCTGCTCTGCTCCCGCTCACCAGTTCGAGCAGAGGAGCTCTCTGCCTTTGGTGGGCGATTGTGCGTGAGTTTGGGTGGGGGGGAGGCATCCACCTTTGTGAGTCTGTAGTGCCTTGCACTCAGCTCTCAGAGGGGATGCGCCTGGCTCTCAGGGAAGGCTGCAGAGGGGCCGCTGCCTGGGCAGGGCAGGTGCTCACTGGGGCCCGAGAAGTGTCACAGGAGGGAGAGGGGGCATGTAGCCGGCCCGGGGTGGCGGGGGAGGGGGAGGCTCTTGGTGCACAGTCCAGCCCATCCACCTGGGCATACAGCCTCGTATGACTGGGAGGTGGCTGAGACCTAGGAGACATCTCCCTGCTGAGAATAGGATGGGACCAGGCAGGGACTTGGGGGCCCCCTCCCAAGTTGCTCGGAGAGATGGCCCTCTGACTCTGCACGGGAGACGGGGTTGGGGGGCTGTGGGAAGCCTCTGTGATGATGCATTGGCTCTGTGGCAGGAGGCTGCAGGTAATCTAATTAGCGTGCTGGGCGGATGGTAGGAGTAATCCTGTGCCTTTAGACTCATTTTTCTTTAAGCCTGTCCCCACCCAATCTCTCCCTAAACCCTTCCACTGCCTGGGTGATGTCCGGGCGGGAGTGGACTTCTCTCCATTGAACAGATGGGTAAACCAGGACCAGAGAGGAAGACACTTACATGATGCCACAGCTAATAAGTAGCAAGGCAGAGCTCTGAACCGAGTCCATGTGAATCCCAAGCCCAGACTCTTAACCTCTGCCCTCTCCATCATCTCCCGGGCCCTTCTAGAACACCCAGACTCACAGGCCCCTTCCTGTAGGCCTCCTCTCCGAATTCCTCATTTTGCGGATGAGGAAACGGAAGCCCAGAGAAGGTAAGATACTTGTCCGGGGCCACACAGCAAGCCGAGGGCAGGACGTATAGCAGAATCTCCTCTGGCCCCCTGCGTCCACCCAGCCCCGGCCCCTGCTAGCAGGTGCAGGGATGCGGCCCCGGACCCGACCCACTTCCCCTTGGAGCGCCCGCAGCCTTCTGTCCTCCAGAGCCGCTGGCACTCGCTCTGGTTGAAGGCACCAAGTTCCTCATCAGAAGGCTCCATTGTGCCTATTGTTTAAATATAGATTACTAATGAAATGCCTTTTCATTGCCTTCCCAGTGAATAGTTTCCGTGTAAAGTTAATTTGCAGTGTTATGTAAATTCTGTTTAACTTCAATCAAGTTTCTAATTATGTTTTTACCGCAGTAATTCCCATTTGATTTGTCATCTCCTGTTAGGTATTTAATGTTCGGTGGGCGGGTGTGCTTCCTCTGTCTCTCCGTGTTCCAGCGCCCTCTCCCTCCCTGACCCCGGCTCCCTTTCTGTCTTTCTGCTTCTCATCCCTGCCATTTTCATCCGTGCCCGTTGCATCTGGGCTGTTGCCCACATCCTCTCCATCCCCTCCTCCTCCCGTCCCGTCTTCCCCCCCTTCCCCCTTCCCCCCCTCATCTCCGCCTCCCTCCTGCCTGCCCTCTTTACCACTGTCTGTCTGGCCTGCAACTCTGCTTCTCTGTCCACTCCTCTTTTGCTCTTCCTCTGTTTCTGTGTCTCTCCCGCCTCCCTCCACCCTCCCCCTGCCCCCCCCTGCTCTCTCTGGTCTCATTTTGCCCCAGGCTGTCCCCTTCCCACTCGGTCTTCCCTGTCATCCCTGCACCCTCAGGACCCCACAGAAGCTGCCTGGGACAGACAGGGGTGAAAGGCAGGGTTGGCTGGGGGTGCCTCCCCGGGGAACCCAGGCCTGGCCCTCGGATACCTTGTCAAAGGCTTCGTAGAGGACGGGGGCCCGGCCCCGGGGACCCTGGGTTATGATGGGAACACAGATGCTCCAGGCGGGCTCTCTGGGTGCAGAGCCTAGCCCGCTCCTTACTAACCGTGTGTCCTTCAGGTTGCTGAGCCCTCATCTGTCCCATGGGGGTGACACCATTACCTACCTAGTGGGGTCGCTGGGAGGAGTCGGTGAAGGACTTAGGAAGAAGGAAGAAGACTTAGGAAGGAGGCAGGACTTAGCCAGGCGGCCTGACCCAAAGCGGCTTCTTCTTGAGAACTCCCAGCCACAGCCCTGGTCTCTTTGTAGCCTCTGTGGTGGGCTTCTGTGCCAAGGGAGTGCTGGGGGCCAGGCCTGAGGCCAGGGCAAGGGGCCGGTGGCATCCTGGAGCCTGTCTCAGCCCTGCCTGTCAAGAGATGCGAACCCCGTCTCCCTGGGTGGGCCGATCTCGGGGCTGCAGGGACAAGCCTGCCATTCCCGGGAGGCGTCCAGGCACAGACACCCTCCCCCCCACCCCCCCTGCCCCGGGAGCTGGCAGAGCCCTCAAGCTCCTGGCCCATGGCCCTTTCCCGAACAGACCAGAGGCAGAGCTGCTCCCGCTAACTTGGACGAGACACCCCCGTCTCGCCCCCTTTCTCCTCCCTGGATGTCCCCAGGGCTGGGCCACACAGTCCTGCTGCAGAGGCCCCGCTCCGAGGACAAGGCCGTGACAGGTCTGTCCCTGACTCCTCCCTGAGCCCCGGCTCCCCTCCTGCCCCACATCCAAGTGCTGGGCGTTGGGATTCTCCCTGGCGGGGCGGCCACGGTTTCCCAGCAGGCAGCTGCCCTCTGGGTGGGGAGGGCGGAAGGAAAACACCGAACGGAGGCCAGCAGGCTGGGCGCATGCTCCTCGCCGGCCTCCCCCTCCCCTTCCTCCCCCCACTCCGCTCTCTTCCCATCCAGCATGTCCCCGGCGTGTCCAGGAAGCAGAAAGCAAGTGTTTGGAGAAGGCATTCTTCTGGGTGAAGAAAGGCAGGCCCTGTCACTTGTCCTTCAGAGTCATGGGAGCCTGGGCTGACCAGTCCCTGCCCTGCTGGGCCACATGACCACCTGACCCAGCGCGAGTGGTTGTGTGTGCGTGCGTGTGTGTGTGTGTCCATCTCTGGTTCAGGAAACCTTAGCCAGTCACGTGGCCGTTTCCCTGTTTGTCTAAGTAAGCAGTTCAGGCTGGCTCTGGCCAGGAGGCTGGGACATGGAGCCCGGGGAGGGGGCCACGCTAGCGTGGATGGCAGACATAAGGATCTCCGGGGACAGAGGGCAGCCTCTGGGTTTGGTGTGGGGAGGCCCGGCCTGGGGAATGGCCCTGCTTCTCATCTCCTGCCCTCCTCTGACCTCTCCTTTTTCTTTCTGTCGAGAAAAAGCATTAGGCTCGCAGACACAGGAAACCCTCCCAGCCCCGAAACATCCTCTGACCAGCAACAGCTCAAAAGGGCAGAGCCCCAGGCTACAAAGAGGGCATGTGTGTTTGCACCCACCATCTGTCCTGTCCCCTGGGGTGTGTTGCCGAGTGCTGGCCCCTCAGCAAGAGAGCCTGACTCAGGCCCTCCCACGTGCACCCAGCAGGCCACTGGTTAATTCACCAGATAGGTATTAAGCACCTACTATGGGCCAGGACCTGAGCTGGGCCAGGCCAGGAGTAGGGTTGTCAGAACACAGACCTTCTGGAACTTCTGTGGAACCCCGACACCTGTGACATATTTTCCTCCTGCTGGATGGGCGGGATCACCAGTTATTGCAAAGACCTGATGCACCTGTCACGAGGCAGTCGTGTCCCACGCCACTACCGTTCCAGGAGGGTGGGACCCCAGCACCGGGCAGGGCCCAACAGGCAAGGTTCAGAGGGGGTACCTAGTCTCCCACAGACTGAGCAGCTGGGGTGAGAGTGCCCTTCCTCCAGAGAGGGCGGAGTCAGAACAGACATAGGCAGAGGGCAGAGGCCCTGAACGCCGGTACCTCGCAGTCTTTTCTGAGGCCACCGGACCAGAGAGCCCTGGGAGAAACGGCAGCCCCAGGATCCCCTTGAACATGGCCTTCCTTGGCCTTCCTCCAGGTTTACCCAGCCGGCATGGCATGTTTTAGCTAGAGAGGACACAGTCCCCTGGGACCTTGA